CCCGGGGGCCCCCAGCTGCTGCCAGGGTGGGGCCCCACAGCTGCGGCTGCAGAGGGCCCCCAGGCCCTTTCAGCAGCAGCAGAGGGGCCCCCGTTGCCCCATATAGCCCAAGTGCTCAAGGTGAGCCGGCCTGCTGCTGCAGCTACTGCTGCTGCTGAGGATGCTGCTGCTGCTGCTGCTGCTGCTGAGGGTGCTGCTGGGGCAAAATAGCCGGCGCAGCGAGAGCTGCTAAGCTAGAGTTTGAGAGGCAGAAGAGGCAGAAACCCCTAGAGACTGCAGCAGCAGCAGCAGCAGCTCCCGAGAGCAGCCAAGTAGCACTAACTAAGGAGACCAAAGGCTTGGGGCGAGGAGAAGGTGCTGCTGCCCCCTTGGTGCTGCCTGCTGCTGCTTGCTGCTGCCGCCGTTTGCCGCCGCTGCTGCTGCTACTGCTGCTGCTGCCGACTGCACGGCTGAGTCGGTGCTGCTGCTGCTGCTGCTACTCAGGAGCCGTGGGGCCTGCCGCTGTTTGGGTGGCTGCTGCTGATGCCGGAGAGCTGTTTGCTGTCTCTGTCTCTGCCGCGGGAAGAGCTGCAGCAGCAGTGGGGGGCCTCCATTTTGCTGCTGCCCTCTTTGGCCCCTCTGGCCGTCCTCAGGGCCCTTTTGTCTTTTCTTTTTTCCCAAGGAATTGACCCCACAAGGGCCCCCCTGGACCTTCCGTGTCTCCCCGTATTTGCTGCCGTCTTGGCCCCCGAGGGGCCCCCCGAGGGGCTACCCCCGGGGGCCTTGGGGGATTCTCCGGGGGGGGCCCCCGGGGCCCGCCGCGCCTTCTCCCCCCTGGGGGGCCCCCCAGGGGCCCCCGCGACCCCCCCAAGGAGCAGCAGCAGTGGGGGCCCCCTGCTCTGCTCCTCTCCACTCAAATCCGCCAAATGCAGAAGCCCGCAGCCCGCAGCCCGTGCATGCGACGCAGGGGGCCCCCGGGGCACGCCGGGGGGCCCCCAGGGTACGGGGGGCCCCCAGGGTACAGGTCTCTGTCTTGGCCTGGGGGCCCCTGTGGGGACTCCCAGCAAGCTCCCAGCCCGCGGCAGACCCCTGGGCAGCAGGGGGCCCCCCACCAGCCCCCTAGGGCCCTTCACAGGGGGGGGCCCCTCCTCCCCTCTGAGGGGCCCCTCCGCCACCCGCAGGGGCTCCACCCTCCCAAATGGGGGCCCCCCAACCCTTCTGCAGGGCCCGTCGACTCCCCTGAGGGGCCCCACGACCCCCCTGAGGGGCCCCTCAGCTCTGCTGAGGGGCCCCTCGACCCCACTGAGGGGCCCCTCGACCCCGCTGAGGGGCCCCTCGACCCAGCTGAGGGGCCCCTCGACCCCGCTGAGGGGCCCCTCGACCCCGCTGAGGGGCCCCCGGAGTCCTTTGAGGGGCCCCGGGTCAGTTTGTTGCGGGCGTTTGTCCCCTTTGGGGGCCCCCCTGGGGGCCCCCCTGGGGCTTGCTGGGAGTCCGTTTCGGGCGTCTCGGGCGAACCTGTCTGTGCACCAGAGGGGGGCCCCCCGGCCCTGCAGGGCCCACTTCTGCGCAGCCAGCAGCAGCTACAAAGTGGCAGGGGGGGCCCCCAAGGGCT